CATCATCCAGCACTCACACACCCATCATCCAGCACACACACACACCCATCATCCAGCACTCACACACACCCATCATCCAACACACACACATCATCCAGCACACACACACCCATCATCCAGCACGCATACACACCCACATCATCCAGCACGCACACACCCATCATCCAGCACGCACACACACACCCATCATCCAGCACGCACACACACACCCATCATCCAGCACACACACACACCATCATCCAGCACGCACACACACACCCATCATCCAGCACGCACACACACACCCATCATCCAACACGCACACACACATAATCCAGCACTCACACACACGTCATCCAGAGCGCACACACACATCATCCAGCACACGCACACACTGCATTCATTATACACACTCTTCACTCACTACAAACACACTACATTCACTATACACCCTCTGCATTCATTATGCACATTCTGCACTCACTACACACTACATTCACTATACATACTCTGCATTCACTACAAACACACTACATACACTGCATTCATTGTACACACTCTGCACTCACTACAAACACACTAAATTCATTATGCACACTCTGCATTCATTATACACACTCTGCACTCACTACAAAAACACTACATTTACTATACACACTGCACGCACTACAAATACACTACGTTTATTATACACACTGCACTCACTACAAATACACTACATTCATTATACACACTGCACTTACTACAAATACACTGCATTCATTATACACACTCTGCACTCACTAAAAACACACTGCATTCATTATACACACTCTGCACTCACTACAAATACACTACAATTATTATTCACACTGCATTCACTACAAACACACTACATTCATTATACACGCACTGCACTATATGCATAGGAGTGTAATTTGTATTTTTTTTTTTAAGGGGGGGGGGGAGGCGGGAATCTTGGGTGAGTTCCCACACTTTTTTCCCCAGGACTTGACCCCTGCTTTACAGGAAGTGTTTATGGAAGGCTGTGCAAGTCACAGGCAGGGAGGTGTGACTAGGGTTCATAAACAAAGGGATTGAACTCCTAAATCGCAGAGGATTGAGCAGTGAGGCTGTAGGGGCATGTTCTATACACCAAAACTGCTTCATTAAGCTAAAGTTGTTCAGGTGACTATAGTGTCCCTTTAAGTATTCTCTTTACTAGAACGCCACAGCAGCACAGAAAAACAACCAATCAGAAAAAAGTTAGGTACTATAAAACTCCCCTCCTCATGCATCATTTCCTCTTTCTTTGCTGCTCCGCAATCAGTACAGGTCAGAGTACCACTGCCTCCTGCTTCTAGTTGGTGGCTTTGGGTTTTATTATGATTTATATTAATTATGCACAGTTTTTTAAGATTTCTGTGCCTTTTGGCTCTTCTTTGCTTCCCCTGGTTTTCTTTGGGGATATTTTCTTTTACATTGTAGGTGTTTCATGGGGCAAAGGTGTTCCTGGAGATACCTATTCAGTTTGCTCTCCCTTTGATTTCACTCTCCCCCCCCCTAGTTTATATCACAGATTGCTGTGAGTTTCAATGACAGTGTATATCACAGATTGCTGTGAGTTTTGCTGGCAGTGTATATCACAGATTGCTGTGAGTTTTGCTGCCAGTGTATATCACAGATTTCTGTGAGTTTTATTGACAGTGTATATCACAGATTTAGTTTTGCAGACAGTGTATATCACAGATTACTGTGAATTACAGGTATATATGAAACTCAGTTATACAGGCTCTGTTCATGGTGTATACAGAACCATTTGGCTAGTTAGCTCTAGGATTGATGTGCTTCACAGTATATATATTCTGGTCCAACTATGGAGTCTCAGATGAGACTACTCTGGTATGAATTCACTGTCCATGGCATATGTTAAAAGCTAAGCAGACCTGGTGTTCTATCAGTCTGCTATACCCCATCAGATTGCTATACCCCCGTCACTTCCGGGGAGGGGAATCAGCTGGATCCTGTGCTGCACATGCTGCTAGCACTCATGCTGCTACTCCACAGCAAGGTCCTGGAAGGTAAGTAAAACTAGTTTTACACTTTCATTATAGTTAGTGCATTCAGTAAGCTTAGGCACACGGGACATTTAGGGTTAAGTGAGGGTACAAATTAGGGTTAGGTAAATGCTTCTAATCTCTCTCACATTCTATTCTTACCCTAACCCTTGGGGTAAGGGTTAAAATAAAGTGTGAGAAATCACTATTTAGTGATATTCCCCTAATGTGAAATATCACTAAATATGAAGTCCCTAATCCTAACCCTAATTTGAACCCTAACATTAACCCTAAATGTCCCATGTCCTAAGCTTAGTGAATGCACTAACTATAATGAAAGTGTAAAACTAGTTTTACTTACCTTCCAGGACCTTGCTGTGGAGGAGTAGCAGGAGTTCTAGCACGCATGTGCAGCACAGGATCCAGCTGATTCCCCTCCCCGGAAGTGACGGGGGTATAGCAATCTGACGGGGTATAGCAGACTGATAGAACACCGGCACTGGCTCAAACTGGTATGGGAGACCAGTCTATGCTGATACTATTCTATTTTATCAGGTTCTATAGGGAGATTCATTGAGTTGACAATTGTTAAGCCTTACTCCTGAAAGAGACCATTGGTACATTACCCTTCAGGTGGTGTGATGATGATGCTCTATAACAAGATA